TTCATAATATGACTTTGATGGTACTTTGCGAACCCTCTTAATATATTTTTTAAGCGTTTAAACTTAAACGACACTTACGACACCGTTGTGAATACCCCAAATATTTTTATGTAGAGGCACTGGACAGATTCGCAGCTTCATCGATGTTTGTTTCCTTGACGACTATAAATTAAAGGAAAACAAGTAAAAGCAGCGCTGTCTTTGGCTATGCCGAAGGCTTCATACCTTTCATGAACATCTGAAAACTTTACTTTAACAGATTACTGTATTTGAAAAAATTTATATATTCACAGCACACATATATAGAGGAGTTACATATACAAAAAATCTTATCTAAACAATTTGAGGTATGGAAGATATATGTTGTAGTCACCCGATCCTTGTTATTTTCACTGTAAGTATTCTGTTAATAATGAGTGAAAATGGTGCGAAATTTCGTGTTTCTAGCTGCATATATGGAAAAGTTATAACAAAGAATCTCATATCTGAACAATCAGTTGTATGGGGGCTATATGTAAAAGTGACCCGATCTTTGTTATTTTCACTGTAAGAGTGCTGTTGATAATAGTTGGATGGGGGCTATATGTAAAAGTGACCCGATCATTGTTATTTTCACTGTAAGAGTTCTGTTGATAATAGTTGGAAGTATTACAAAATTTCATGTTCCTAGCTGCGTAAATCGAGGAGTTATAACGAAAATTCTCATAACTGAGCAATCAGTTGAATGGGAGATATATGTTATAGTGACCTGATCTTTATTATTTTCACTGTAATTATTCTGTTAATAATTAGTGAAAATAGTGGGAATTTTCATGTGTAGCTGCATAAATGGAGAAGTGATGGCAAAAAATCTCATATCTGAACCATCAGTTGTATGAAGGCTATAGGTTATAGCTACCCGATTTCCGCCATTTTCATTGAAAGTATTCTTTTGATAATGAGTGACAACAGTGCCAAATTTCATGCTACTAGCTCCTTAAATGGAGGAGTTATAACGAAAAATCTCATATCTGAACAATCAGTTGTATGGGAGCTATATGTTATAGTGGTCCGCTTCTTCCGGTTCCGACAAATGATTAATACAATATAAAAATACACCCACCTACCAAATTTCATCCGGATATCTCGAAAACTGAGAGACTAAATTTGCTACAAACAGACGGACAGACAGACAGACGGGCAGACGGACATGGCTAAATTGACTCAGCTCAGTTCTGATCATTTAAGTATACATTTTAATGGGTCGATCTTTTCTTATTCTGGTACTCACAAACATCGGACCAAAGTTATAATACCATTTCATGCTCATGAAGGGTATAATTATAAGGCGTCTTAAAAGCAAGTTTCAGTGAAAAGTCATACATGTACTTACTTGTAATTACATAAAGTAGTGCTCCTGGCTTAGGCTTGCCGTTGATAGGTAACTGATGAAATTGCCTATTTATCAAGTCCCACATTGCAGCGCAAGGCGCAGCGTAGGCGATGTTAAAAACATTATATGCTTAAAAGCATAGTATATCCACAGCTTTAATATTTAAATTTTTATTGTTTTTTTTTATCCAGCAAATTCCTTTTTAAAACGTTTAAAATTATATTATACGTTTCACAGCAGCCAACAATTAATTCCGCAATGGCACCCGATACAAAAAATATGATGAAATATTAAACTGCCGCTAATTGAGTATATTGTACGAAAATATTCGTATGTTGTACGAATTTAAAAAACATGTTTCTGAATTAGTACTCTATATGAATGTATTAACTAAATTGTACGAATACAGAATTGTAGATTTCGTTAATTTTAAAACCATACGTAAATATTACGAATGCCTTCCTACAATATACAAAATTATTCGTACAGAGATTTGTTTAGTGCCTTACGAATGTGTTTCGTAAAATAAACGTAAGATTTCGTAAATTGTACTGAAAAAATGCCTTACGAAAGTCCTTTCGTTATATTTACCTATGGTTCGTAAAATCTTGTTTCGTTGTGAAAAATGTGTTCGTATTATGAACGAAAGTTTCGTACCTTGTACAAAAACCAAGACTACGAAAGTTTTTCGTAGCACTTTTACGAAATTTTATTTTCAGTGTAGTCCTTTAGCTAAGTACGATTTTCAGCACATGCCGGATGTTAGAAAAATGCATTTAATTATTTATTTAAGATATGAGGGTGTACACGTAAGACTTTAATGTAGTTATGTACATAAAAAAACTAACCCCTATCACACGCTCGCCTTTTGTTTTCACTTTTACAATTTGCCTCTGCAGACTTCATTTTGCCTTGTGATGTTTCAATAATTGTGTAAAACTACGCAGAAATATTGACGCACAAATAGTCCAATTGGAACTGTTTAGTTATTTGCCCACTATTTTTAGGTTAGTTGGAGGGGCGGAATTGGGCGTGGGTCTTGATATCAAACCCATTAGAAAGAGCACAGTTCACACTTTGTAAAAAAGTATCAGCTGATGCCTCGAAATATTGCACATACCCCTGTGGAACCATTGGAAAACGGTCTAAAATTAGCATTTTTACACCGGAAATGTAAACTCGATAAACAGTATTTTGGTGTAGAACACATTTTTATTGTCAAAGGTATTCAACACTTTTGTGCGAATAACTCCGGCTACGCCATCCACAGTTTATTTGCGTAGAACTCACTCCGAAATTCACAAAATATGCATTTTTCAGACCGAATTTATTAATAAATTAGTGACCGCAAATTACAAAATTAGGTTTCACGATAAATTGTAGACCTTTGGCTACAAGTGTATGTAAATTTTTTTTTGATCGGGTCACCCATTCGGACACAATATCTCGAAGTCGTTAGGCAAATACCTAAACCGTTCCCAGTTATATCGTTATTTGGGTTTCTTCAATCAACAGTTGCACTTATATGACGGCACGCACACAGCTGATTCTGTAAAATTCACAAAGAGCGGATTAGCGGTACCACGATGGGCGCAATTTCTCTTTCTCTCAATCGTGCGTATTAAGGGCAAACGGTCTAGCAATGCGTGGTATTGTTGATCAACTTAATACTTTAATTAAGCATATGTACTTAGGGCTGTTTTCTCAAGTAACCTGTAACTTTAAAGCTCACATTATATTTAAAGGTTGCATTAAAATCTATGGTTGTGTCTAAGGTAAAGCATTTTGTTATCGGTTTTAATTGGTTTACAACCAAGAAACATACATACGTAAAAACCCGATTGTAAAAATTCTTAACTTTGGACATACGTAGCTTTATTTTTTACCCAACTTTTAAATATAAAGTGTGCTTTAAAGTTAAAGGTTACTTCAAAAAACGGTCATTATTATTAAAATTTCATTTTAAGAATATGACTCTGTCCTATTGTGGTACAAATATGTAATTTTAAAACATCAACCATAGAAATCGAACCAGTACATCGGCTGTTTCGTCTAACAAAAAATTTGGTTTTTAATTTTATATATAGTATAATAGATTTGTCGGTGGCGAATGGTTTTATTTTTTTAAACAAGTTAAAAATCTTTCTTTATAACTGAAACTTACTTGGATTTCAAATTCTCTGCCTATTAGTTGCAACAATAAATTAGGTTTTTGGTAACGGACGCGACAATATGGTATACATATAATACAATAAAAAAATCGAGGTCGCTTCGCTCTTGTTTAGGGATGTTAATTTTTCGGCTTTTCCCGATCCCGGGATTTTCGGGATGGCGTTGTCACAATTCTGGGATCTCGGGATTAGTCCCGGGATTTACATATTCTTTACTTTTCAACAAGTTGAATCGAAAAAATTGTTTCTATATTGTTTGAGAAGCTCAGCTACCATGAAATAATAAGGAAATGGGTTTTGAAACCTACTTTTTTATTTAAAGTGGCGTTTTTATTTTTTCTCTCTGGCCGAAGGATTTATTTTGAAGGAATTTTTAAGTTCAAAGATATTATTAATTCAACAAATTATTAAATACATTCAATGCAATGTACAATAAAAACATGGGTAACAAATACAATAGGAAATTTCTTTAGAATTTAAAAAATTTAAATTTTTTGGATTCACAAGGACGAATAGGTAGTTTTTAAGCTGACAAAGTTAGAAGAACGAAATTCGAGGATGTTATCGAGTTTATATAAGCCCTTAACATATAATTTTTTCAAAAACAAATATTGCGAAATTTCGAGAATAAAATTTGAAAATGACATTCTCAATATTTACCAGCCCTTCTGCACCAGAAACTTGAATCTGTTTGAATTCTACAGGATTTCCTCACTAATTGTATACCCATACTTATTCTCTAAGCCCATTTCTCTGAATTTGTTAAATCATTTTTGAATTACTGACGTCAGAGTGAAAAACTAAAAACGCAATTTTACTACATTTGGCCCAAGGTTTCGCGAATATTTTTATTGATATTTGTGTATAAAATTTAGTATCACGCGGGGTTATATGTATAATGAGCTGCACATTTATAAAAAATATTAAATATTAAATTAAAAAAGAAATATAGCCGATACTGGTCAATAAAAGGAGTTTCTAGTTATTATTGCCATCAGTGTAAATTACAAATACCGAAAATCCCGGGACTTGCCAAGAATCCCGGGATTAACATTCTTGTAACATCCAAAGTGTAAAGGTTTTTGTNTTATTGCCATCAGTGTAAATTACAAATACCGAAAATCCCGGGACTTGCCAAGAATCCCGGGATTTTCGAGACCTTAAAAAGTCCGGAATCCCGGGATTAACATTCTTGTAACATCCAAAGTGTAAAGGTTTTTGTTAGTAGAAAAATTCGAAATTACAACAACTACATGGCAGCGTAATAAAAGTTACGCTAAATACTCAAAGGAAAATGTTAATATTATTAGCTAAGCCTTTTAGTTTACCATTTTGGGATATGCCTATATATGTATACGTCTGTTTGTGTTATGAACTTTTATTTAATGTGATTTCAAAACTCGATGTTCGGTTGTTCTCTAGTTACAACTATAATTGTTACCTCCTTTTACTTGTAGGTGATGAAGTCACTTGACCCACATGTTAACGTCGTTCGACTTCTTGGCTGTTGCACTGATAAGGATCCAATATTTGTGATTATTGAATTTGTGAATCGGGGAAAATTGCAAGCTTATCTACGAAATTCGCGTGCAGAGCGGTAAGTAAACCGAAAATACGATAACTGAGATTATAAATTTTGATGCTAAATAAATGAAAAAATAAGTTCAAATAAGTTTCAACTGAAAAAAGCCATACATTTAATGTTGTTTGAAGTAAAACTTTTTTTGCGGTATGAGAGTAATTTTTCAATATCACGAGACGGCGCGGTCTTCCACAAGGATGATATTAAATGGAGAGAAAATCATGTGCATATATACATACCGTTAATATAGAAAGGCTCCGTCTAAATTTTTTGTGTCTTGTCAGTTATAAAACTTTATAAAAATTAAAGTTTTTAATTTGGGGCGTTCTTCAAAATCCTGGGTTTTAATTATGACTGAAAGGAATTTATTGATGTAGTAGATATTTTTAAATTCTAATAATCCTTTCATGGGTTATCTACCGGCCTTTGTACAAAGCTAAATTTCGAAAAGCTAGTAATGAGCGTTAACGCTAAGAAAATAACTTTTATCATATAGATATCGTCACCTGAAATGTAAAAAGACGTAACAACATCGTAAATGAAATGGAAAAAGTCGTGACTCATATTTTATTTTTTTTTCATAAAATAATGTGGGGAGTTGTAATTCGATGAAATCCATCATATAAATAAAAAAGTGAATTTTGAATTTTTTATTAGTTATTACTTTTTGCATATCAACGATGATGTTTGTTACGTCTTTTTTCATTTCAGGTGACGATATGTAGTACTTCTATATTGGCAGTAAGCTATCTTCTCATTGTGTAAAAATTTCGAAATCAAATCGACACATATATCAGAACATATAAATTCAACAAAATTTTAAGCCAAAATCATTCATTCGTTTTATATATGAATAATTCCCCACTAGAATTTGAAGCGAGATCTCCCAATGTGAGGAATAAAAGAGTACTCCCTTTGGCCTGATATCGGAGCTATAGGAGAGATTTGTCGGTTTTGACCTCCTTTATAACTCGCTTAGGACTCAAATCGGAGATCTCCTAAGTGAGCAACAAAAGAGTACTCCCAGAGGCATTATTTTGGAGAAATAAAAGATTTTTGTCGATTTTGTACTCTTTTATTACTCGTTTAGGAGCCAAGCGGTAGATCTCCCAAGTGAGGAATAAAAGAACACTCCTTGAGGCATGATTTCGGAGCAATAACTAAGATTTGTCGGTTTTGTACTCCGGTATTTCTCGCTTAGGAGCAAAAAGCGATGTCTCCTAAGAAGTAATCCAAGAGTATTCCTTTTGATTGATAGGGAAGCTATAGGCACCTCGTTCAAAAAAAATTTTTTGTTATTGGAAAAATTTATCATAAAGAAAACTACAGAAAATCATTCATATAGAAACATTATAAGGAAGATGCAATAATTTAATGTCGATAGCACACATTTAAATGAAAGTCCGTCGGTGTGTATTGCAACTTCTGTTTAAACTTATTAAATGTTATATTATATACCGCTAAATACTTTTCAGATTAGCAAATTAGTGTCAGCATTTACGTATGACCACCTGGTTTTAACGTTCATATAATGCCGGTCGAGAGCTTTTACTGAGGGGCATAGATGTCAGATGGGCAAAGTAACCTTCAAATTGATCGTGGTTAAAACAAGAAAGTTATACACTCTCCCTATTTGCATGAGCTCCTGAACACCCAAGCATCCCTGACACCCGGAAATCATGTAGTTATCTTACCGTTTTATTATTATTCTGTTTTACTTTGAATGAATTTGCCCGCATTAGAATTCCAATATTAATCAACAATGTAATCTATATATTAATACGCTAACATAAATTTTGTCTCCGTTCGTTTGGCGATTCTACCGAACCAAGAACACCGTTGGAAAGGCATTTTTCCGTAGATGAGCAGAGTTTTTATGGTTTCACAATTGGTTGAAAATTACGGCTAAAACCGTCGTTTAAACATTTTCGAATTGTGTATAGATGTTGCTGCAACATGTTCAATTTGACATGTTTCGCATGTTGTTTCACTACAGATTCGAGATTAAGCTTTGAAATAAAGATAAATATGAAGATGAAGAAATAAATGATAACGAAGAAGTAAAAAAAGAAGGCAAAAGTGAAGATAAAGACGAAAATGGAGACAATGACAGATACATAAGAATTAGGGTAACTGAAATGGTAAGAACATTTCTTGAATTTATGAAGTGAAACTTCTTTAGCGCCAGTTGGTTGGTTGGGAGTAAATTGTCAAATTCAAGGGGAATAATGCACATGGAAATGGTTCTCAGCTGTTTAGCGGTTTGAGAATAAAAACAAAAACAATGATGCCTAGAGGTACAGGCAAACCGAAGATCAAAGTAAATTAAAACACTTGTAAGGTAAAGGTGAAGAGGAATATGCAAAAATAAAGATAAATATGAAGAAAAGGATGAGGATGAAGATCGATATTGTTATCGATATAAAACTCGATATTTTTATCGATATAATAATCGATATTGCTATCGATAAATTAATCGATATTGTTATCGATACTGTTATTGATTAAATAACCGCTATTGTAATCGATATTGTTATCGATATAATCATCGATATTGTTATCGATACCATAATGGATATTGTTATCGGTATAATAATCGATTCAATAAATGATTTTGTTATCGATTTAGTAATTGATATTGATATGTATAATAATCGATACTGATGATTGTGATATTTATCGATGAATAAATCGATTTTGCAATCGTTATATTTTTCTATATGGCATTACATGACGTGGCATCACATGATATGATATCATATGGTATGACAACATATGATATGACATCACAGGATATGACAGAATATGACATGGCATCCTATCACATCACATCCTATCACAACATATAAAATCACGTCACATCTTATCACGTCATCGCACCTCATCTAATCTACGTGAATAGATAAAGAAAAGGATAAAAGCAAAGATGTGAAAGATAAAAACAAATATGAAGACCAAGGTAAATTTAACGATTTCAAAACCAAAAACACCGTTAGAAAGGTAAATTTATGTATATGAGGAGAGTTTTTATAGTTTCGAAGTTGGTTGAAAATCGTCGTTTAAATATTTCCATATTTGTGTACAACCTGTTTAATTTAAGCTGTTTCGCATTTTGTTTTACTTCGTATTTGAAATTAAACTTTGAAATAAAGATAAATATGAAGATGAAGACAAAAAAGAAGGAAAACGTGAAGATAAAGACGAAAATGGAGATAAAGGCTAAAATGGAGACAATGAGACATACATACATAAAAATTAGGGTAACTGAAGTGAAATTTTTCGATAGGAATCGAAATATAATCAGCCATAAAAGTTACCGCAATTTATCGAATCATCGAACTTTATAATTATCGAAATTTATCTATGCTTATTAAGTTATCGCAACGTATCGAATTATTCAAACTGATCAATGTTTCCTGAGTTGTGGAAATTTATAAACACCGAAACTTAGTTGTCCAAATTTACGGATAGTTATCGAGCTATAAAAACGTGTGGGATTAACGAAATTTGTCAAGTTAAAGAGATGTATCAAAATATCCATATTTATTGAATTATCATTATTTATAGACTTAACGAAATTTTCGAGGTGTCGTAATGCATGGAGTTCTTTCAACTTACAGAATTATCGATAATTATTGATCTACTGAAATTGGTTGGTTCAACGAATCGAAGTTTATGGAATTTTCAAAATATATCGATTTATCGAAATTTCAATGTTATATAAGCTTATCGATTTATCACTGCTTATCGAATTTAATCGTCTTAACAGAGTGTTACGAGTTATCAAAATGTTTAGATAGTTTTCGAAAAATGTGGAGATGTCAAAGTAAAAATTTATAAAGGTATCCAAAGTTTTTACATTTTTGAGTTATCGAAATTTATCGAGCCATCGAATTTCACAGTTATCGAAATTGGACGAGTTAACAAATTTTGTTGAGTTATCGAATTTTAGTGTTCTTGAAATTCATCGAACTATCGATATGTCAAATCATTGAAATTTATCGATAAATTTTAATGTATCGGGTCAATTCCAAGTCTTGCCGAAGTCCTCCAAAGACCTTCTCAGATAAAAATTTGTTACGTTTTAGCAGAAGATTTTCCGATTATTTAATTTGTACCGTATAAGTTTTGCTACGTGTTAAGTTAGAAAACCTCTCCAAGGCTTCTAAAACTAATCGTACTTATAGGTATCTGTTAAGATCTTTTAATATTGTATACATGTATGTGATTAAAAAATTAAATAAATGGATTGCGTAAATAGCAAAATCTTTTAGCTAATGTGTGGGGCAATGAAAAGCTCTTTTATTACTCATACTTTCGGGATGCCTCTCATGGGAGCACTCCCTTATTGATCGTTCGGGAGGAATGTGGGATGTTTTTCTATGTGTTTTCTTGTTGTCTTTTTGGGAGGTATAGGGGAGGATTTTATGGGAGTACTCCCGTATTGCTCCCTTAGGAAGTTTTGGGATGATTTTTCTATGTGTGCTCCCCGATTACTCGATTAGGAGGTAAAAGAGATTACTAGGACATACAATGTTAAAGGTTGTATACAAAATTACATGCTTATACAAAGAAGTATAGGGAGTAATGGGGAGTGTTCGTATAATCCCCAGGGAGTACTCACCGAGCAATCGTACGATGCTCCAAGTTCTACTGGATCACTAGACGTTTTGAATAAATTCATGCAGCCCTCTAGTTTGCATTGTGTACGTGTATATTTATAAATGAAAAAAATTTAGCAACTATCAAATCACTCCAGTTGCGGATTTAAGATACAGTGTTATTTAAAAAAGGGCCTAGGGGTAGTTAAAAAAAGCTAAAGAACTTTGTAAATAGCAAAATAAATATTCTTTTAATAATTTTGAATTTAGTTTTCAAATCATAATAGTACAGTTATTTTTCCAATTCAGGAGCTGCATGCGGCCATAAATATTTACAAATGCCTTTTAATTGCTCGTAATCATCTGTTTTGAAATGATTACAGCAAACTCGGAAATTTTATGTAAGTATGTATC